AAAAGCCCAGGTCCAGATAGATTCACTAGCGAATTTTTCCAAACATTTATAGAAGACCTTTTACCAGTTCTTCTCAAGCTTTTACAGGAAATTGAAAAAACAGAAATCCTCCCAAACAGTTTCTATGAATCCTCCTGTTTGGGAGGATTTCTTCTAATACCAAAAGGAAACAAAGACACCACAAAAAAAAGAATACTACAGGCCTATATCCCTGATGAACACGGATGCGAAGATTCTCAACAAAATACTAGCAAACAGAATTCAAAAACTCATCAAAAAGATAATACACCATGACCAAGTGGGATTCATCCCAGGGATGCAAGGATGGTTTAACATTCGGAAATCAATCAACATAATCCATCATATCAACAAAAGAAAAGATAAAAATCATATGATCATATCAATAGATGCAGAGAAAGCATTTGACAAGATCCAGCACCCGTTTATAATGAAAGCCCTCACCAAATTGGGGATAGAGGGGACTTTCCTCAATATAGTTTAAGCCATCTACCACAAGCCTACAGCAAGCATCATCCTCAATGGAAAAAATCTAAGAGCCTTCCCCTTAAGATCGGGGACCAGACAAGGATGCCCACTCTCTCCACTGCTGTTCAATATAGTACTGGAAGTACTTGCAATAGCGATTAGACAAGAAAGAGATATTAAGGGCATCCAAGCAGGAAAGGAAGAAATCAAGTTCTCACTATTCACAGATGATATGATACTATACTTAGAGAACCCTAAAACTTCTACCAAGAAACTCCTAGAAACAATAGACTTGTATAGTAAAGTTGCAGGCTATAAAATCAATACCCAAAAATCCATGGCTTTCCTATATGCAGATAGTGAGAGAGAAGAAAACGACATGAAGAAAACAATTCAGTTCACAACTGTGCCCCCGAAATTCAATTACCTAGGAATTAGCTTAACTAAAGTAAAGAACCTGTACAAAGAAAACTACAAAACGCTGCTTCACGAAATAAAAGAGGACACAAGGAAATGGAAAAATATCCCCTGTTCATGGATCAGGAGGATTAACATTGTCAAAATGGCAATATTTCCCAAAGCACTGTACAAATTCAATGCGATCCCTATTAGGATACCCATGACATTCCTCAAAGAACTGGAGCAAACACTCCTAAAATTTATATGGAACAATAAGCCCCCACGTATAGCTAAAGCAATTCTTGGGAAAAAGAAAATGAGAGGAATCAACCTCCCTAACTTCAAGTTCTACTACAAAGCAGTAATAATTAAAACAGCATGGTACTGGAACAAAGGCAGAACAGCAGAACAATGGAACAGAGTTGAATATATTGACAACTCCCACCAAACATATGATCACCTAATCTTTGATAAAGGAGCAAGAAATGTGAAGTGGAGTAAGGAAAGCCTTTTTAACAAATGGTGCTGACAAAACTGGATGGCTACATGCAAAAACAATGGGCTCAGATCTCTACCTAACACCATGTACAAAAGTAAGATCAAAATAGATTTAAGACCTCAATATCAGACCAGAATCCATAAAGTACATTGAAGACAAAGTCGGCAAAACCCTCCATGACATTGAAGCTAATGATGTCTTCAAAGATGTCACTCCACTGGCTAAGCAAGTGAAAACAGAGATAGACAAATGGAACTCTCTTAAACTAAGAAGCCTCTGCACCTCAAAAGAAACAGTGACCAAAATACAAAGACAGTCCACAGAATGGGAAAGGATATTCGCCAAATACACATCCGACAAGGGGCTGATATCAAGGATATACAAAGTACCGGTTGAACTCCACAAGAAGAAAACATCCAACCCTATCAGAAAATGGGGCGTTGAAATAAACAGAAACTTCATCAAAGATGAAATTCGAATGGCTAAAAGACACATGAGAAAATGCTCTACATCATAAATCATCAGGGAGATGCAGATCAAAACAACAATGAGATATCATTTCACACCGCAGAGACTGGCCCACATCCAAAAGAACAAAAGCAACCGGTGCTGGCGCGGATGTGGCAAGAAAGGGACCCTCCTTCACTGCTGGTGGGAATGCCGACTGGTTCAGCCCTTCTGGAAAACAGTATGGACGATTCTCAAAAAACTAGAAATTGAGCTCCCATTTGACCCAACAATTCCACTCCTGGGAATATACCCCGGAGAGGCAAAAAAGTATAGTCGAAGTGACATCTGCAGTTGTCTGTTCATTGCAGCACTGTTTACAATAGCTAGAATCTGGAAAAAACCTGAGTGCCCGAGAACAGATGACTGGTTAAAGAAACTTTGGTACATCTACACAATGGAATACTATGTAGCTGTCAGAAAGGATGAAGTCATGAAATTTACATACAAGTGGTACTACATGGATAGTATCATGCTAAGTGAAATGAGTCCGAAAGAGACGGATAGACATAGAAAGATTGCATTCATCTGGGGAACATAAAGTAACAAAATAGGAGACTAACCCCCAAGAATAGCCGAGATAAGTACCAGGAGGATTAGTCCATGGCTTTGAGGACAGCTGCACACGCTAGGGGAAAAGGCAGCTCAGATAGGAAGGGAGCCCCAAATAAAGGATGTTGGGAGGTTCCTCTCAGGATGGGAAATGCATGATGAGAGTAGACTATAGTCCAAACAAGATTGCCACTTAATGTCTCTTTTGCAAACCACAGCACTCAAAAGGAGAGAGATAACAAAAGGGAATGCCTTGCAGTGGTAGGGTGGGATGGGGAGAAGGGGGGTGGGAGGGATACTGGGACTGGTGGTGGTGGAGAATGGGCACTGTTGGAGGGATGGGTATTCGATCATTGTATAACTGAAACCCAAGCACAAAAATTTGTAGGTCTACAACTGTACCTTATGGTGTTTCACTAATAAAAATTTAGGGGAAAAAAAGGGGGAAAAAGTTAATAAAAAAAAAAAGAAGGGAAAAGGGGATATGGTGCCGCCAACATGTCAATTTGTACCTCTGAGGTGAGTGCATCAGGAGCCTGATGGCGCCTTCAGACTTCCAGATACCCCAAAATTGCTGCTGTGCCTTTGGCCAAATCCCAAAAATTTAGGGCAAAGTTTACCAAGAAAGTAAATGGCCAAAAGTTAGGTATGTGGGAGACACACCCACAAACCACCTCTGGCTCAGTTATATAATTGGAGGCATGGCCTCTCTGGTTCCTGATTGAACTTCTTAATGGCCATGATCCCAGAGACTCAGAAACAAATCTCAAAACCCAGCAGCTTTTGGCAGAAATGCGTCTGGTCCCTGCAGTAGGTTACTGGTGCTGGGCCAACCCAGGTGGGAATAGGTTTTGTGCCTTGGCCTGTTCCTCCTGGCGGCCCGGTGGCTGCTATCCTCCAGAGGCCACTGGACAGTCAGGTTTGGGCCCACAGTGATGAAACACACAAAACTCACAGGATGGGGGTGGAGCCGGTCATGTCCTCCCCGTCCCAACAAGACCCCAAGTCATCGCCCACGAACGGCTTCTCTGGCTCCTGATCAAGTTGCTTAATGGCCATGGTCTCAGAGACTCAAACAAATCTGAAAACCCACCGGCTTTTGGCAGAAATGTGTCCGGAACCCACAGTAGGTGACTGTTGCCGGACCACCCCCGGGGGGAAAGGGTGTTGTCCCTCAGCCTGCTTCCCCCAGGCGGCTTGGTGGCTGCCATCCTCCAGAGGCCATTGGACAGTCAGGTTTGGGCCCACAGTGACGAGACTTAAACCCAAAAGTTTTGTAACTGCTCTCATGGTGATTCAATAAATAAAATTATAAAAAATGAAAAAAAAAGTAAGGTGGAGTTCATGCACAATACAATCAGCTAATCAGTGGCTGAATAAATAGCAGTACTCCTACATTAAAAAAAAAAAGAAGGAAAAAAGGACACATTACACATAAAAATGATTATCTGTGTATGTGGGATCATAGACCACATAAACCCTCTTTATTTCCTTCCTTGTGTTATCTATAATTTAGACCTTAAAAACTATATTTAATTTTTATTAAATGTTATATGTTTTAAAAAGGAAAATATGTGCTTTACAAACAGATTGTTAAAATTAATTTTTGATGCGAAATACTAATTTAAAAATTTCCCTAATAAAATACATAAATAGATAACTTTAAGTCTCCAGATGATGGTATCAGATATCAGGGACAGCTCGGGGGTCGGGGGAGGGCAGGGGGCAGAAATTTGAGCACGTAAAATACAGCTCAACTATGCATTTAAACATTAAGAAAAAATATATATAATTTCGACCAGGGATGAAGTGGCTCAGTGCATACCTCATGTCTCCAATGTGTTAGGCCTAGATTCAATTCCTGGCACTGTAATATATATATATATATATATATACACACACATATGTGTATGTATATATATGCATACATATATACCTATATATGTATATGAAGTAGTAATCCAATTATTTGGGAATTGGTTAGTTCAAATAACTGTATCACTGTCATCCCGTTGTTCCTCGATTTACTTGAGCAGGTGCCAGTAACGTCTCTATACCTCCCAGCCTGAGATTTTAGCAGCCTCTCCTTTCTAGTCTTTCCCAAAGATTGGAGTCTCTTTCAGGGTCAGGGGAATGAGAATTGTTATCATTACTGTTTTTGGTATATCGAATACACCATGGGAAGCTTGCCAGGCTCTGCCCTTGCGAGCGGGATACCCTTGGTAGCTTGCCGGACTCATCGAGAGGTATATACATATATATATTTATATGTATATATAGATATATATTTCTCTCTATGGTTTTGTTGCCTACTGTCTGAACCCCATCAAATATGGTGTGGTAATTATGGAAAATGGTAGAAAGTGTCTTATGATGTGTCATGCATCTGCAAAGCGGCCATGCGGTTCGGAAAGCAGCCTAGAGTGTGGTGGCGGTTGGGTAGTGGAGGTCGGCTGCCAGGTCTGGGTCCTTTGAGGTGTGGAAGGCTCTCGCCCGCCCCACTCTGGGGCACCCCAAGTGAAAACAGTCTGGCCTGGAGTCTGCATGGAGTCTGCTTCTCCCCCTGACTCCTTGGTAGTCTGCTAGTGGGAGACCCTCGACTCTGATCCTTTGCTTTCTCCTGTCCCGGAACCCCGCAAGTCCTCATTATGCGTGAGTGCATCTCTATCCACGTTGGCCAGGCTGGTGTCCAGATTGGCAATGCCTGCTGGGAGCTCTACTGCCTGCAACACAGCATCCAGCCCAATGGCCAGATGCTCAGTGACAAGACCATTGCAGAAGGAGATGACCCCTGCAACACCTTCAGTGAAACAGGCGCTGGCAAGCATGTGCCCAGGGCAGTGTTTGTAGACTTGGAGTCCACAGTCATTGATGAAATTAGCACTGGCACCTACCACCAGCTCTTCCACCCCGTGCAGCTCATCACATAAAAAAAATCTCAAAACCCACTGGCTACAGAAAATGACCCTAATCTTACATCTAAACCCTGGCCATCAGGCTTGCAAAAGTGCCAGTGGTAATCAGAATTGTAGGTGGAGGCGACTCAGTTTAACCCCCTAAGTGCTTTTCTGAGTAAGGAATATTGTAGGCAAATGCAAAGAACACTCTTCAAAGCCAGAAGAGCAGTTCATCTGACTTTCTCTTTGGAATTTATTTAAATACAACAAATGCCTACTACTAGAGCTAGTACAGCCCTATTACTAGGAAATTGATCTGTTCCGTCAACTATGCTGGATGTTCACCAGGTCTCTTCCCTCTGGTGAGTCAGAGCTAAGTGTCTGCCAACCCTTGTGAGAGCCCTTAAAAGGGTTCTGCCACTAGCTCCTTGGGGTTCCTCCACATTGCATCCAGATATACACAGCTGGGTGTTCAGCAAAGACACAAGGGTAGTCCCAACAGATTTCTTCTCCAAACATTTCTTGTTCTTAAGTCTTTTCCTCTATCTAAATACGCTGTCAAGCAGCACCTCCAAACTTGCCATTCTTTATCATTCTCTAAAAGAAATTGCTCATATTCTAAATTATAAATTTAGTGAATGTGGAATTGATGCATACTTTTATTTATATCTCTTGTAAAACATGGGAGAGTTACAGAGAAAATTAAGGGCTAACTTATTCAACAATAGTTAGTGAGTGCCAGGTTTTATCTGGCCCCGAGGATATAGAAGGGAATAAGACATCAAAGTCCCTGGGGTTGGAGCAATAGCACAGCAGGTAGGGCGTTTGCCTTGCACGCGGCCGACCCGGGTTCAATTCCAGCATCCCATATGGTCCCCCGAGCACTGCCAGGAGTGATTCCTGAGAGCAAAGTCAGAAGTAACCCCTGAGCATCGCTGGGTGTGACCCAAAAAGCAAAAAAAAAAAAATAGACATCAAAGTCCCTGCTCCATGAAGTTATTAGTGACTAGAAGGTAAAAAGGTAAAGGTAAAGGTAAAGGCCCTCCCATTGATCGTCGATTTGCTCGAGCGGGCCCAGTAACGTCTCCATTGGAGACTTTGTTGTTACTGTACTGTACAAAATATATTTAAAACTTTAAAAAAAATTATCTTTTAGCTGAAGTCATGAAATTTACATACAAGTGGTACTACATGGAAAGTATCATGCTAAGCAAAATGAGTCAGAAAGAGAGGGATAGACATAAAAAGATTGCATTCATCTGGGGGACATAAGGTAACAAAATAGGAGATTAATAACCAAGAATAGCCTGAGATCAGTACCACGAGGATTACTCCATGGCCTAGAGGCCAGCCGGGCATTCTAGGGGAAAGGGCAGCTCAAATAGAGAGGGGAGCACCAAATAAAGGTGTTGAGAGGATCCTCCCAGGATGGGAGATGCATGTTGAAAGTAGACTATTGACCGAACATGATTGCCACTCAATGCCTCTTTTGCAGACTACAACACCCAAAAGGAGAGAGAAAACAAAAGAGAATGCCCTGCCACAGAGGCAGGGTGGGATGGAGGGATGGGGGTGGGAGGGATACTGGGATCCATGGTGGTGGAAAATGGGCACTGGTGGAGGGATGGGTATTTGATCATTGTATAATCGAAACCCAAGCACAAAAATTTGTAAGTCTACAACTGTACCTCATGGTTTTTCACTAATAAAAATTTTTTAAAAACTATCTTTTAAAACAAAAAGAAAATCCTGCTTGTCTCCAAAACACTCTCTTGCCACTCCGACTGCCATGACATTACTTTTCCTTTTAAACCACCCCCAACTCCACTTTTAAGATTGATTCTATATCAAATACTCAGGAATCCGCTTAACAAAAGAGTGAGAGATTTATTTAAAGAGAACCACAAATCACCACTTAAAGAAATGAGAGAGGACACAAGGAAATGGAAATATATCTCTTGTTTGTAGATTGAAAGGCTTAACATTGTCAAAATGACAATCTTGCCTGAAGCATTATACAGCTTCACTGTAGTCCCCATAAAAATACACGGAACATTTTTTAAAAGACTAAATTCTCTATAAATTCATATGAAATAATAACCTCCTGCCCCCTGAACAGCCAACTCAATCCTGGAAAAGAAGATGGGAGATTTCTGGGGTTGAACTAAAGTACAGTGAATAGTATCGTTTTCCTTGAATGCAATCAATCCTGGTTTGATCCCTGGAACCCCATATAGTTGGTCCTCCAAGTCAGCCAGGAGTAATTCCTGAGTGCAGAGCCAGAAGTAAACCCTGAGCATTGCCGGGTGTGGACCATCTTAAAAAGGAAAAAAAAGATGGGAGCTTTTCTTTCCTCAACTTCAAACTGTATCGTAAAACTGTAGTAAACAAAACAGTGTGGCTCTGTTATAGGACATACTCTCAGATCAATGAAATAGAAATTATTGTTCAGAAACAGATCCTTGTGTATATGGACAATTAAATATTGATAAAGGAACAAAAAGTATGAAGCAGAGCAAGGAAAGCCTCCTCAACAAATGGTTGTAATAACTGGTCTGTCACATCATGTGCAAAAAAATGAATGCAGACCCCTAAGACAATAACAAAAGTCAAACAAAAATGAATTAAAGATTACTGTGAATTTCCAAGAAAAAGCATGGGGGTACACAAGGGGCTCGATGCATTAAGTGGCCAAGAACCATTCCTCTGGCCAGCTCAGAGCAACAACGGATGGACAAAGGACCAGGGAAATGGAGAAACAGGGACCAGGCTGATTGGTAGACAGTTTATCTCTCCTCCCCAGTGTAGTCCAATCTCTCCCTTTACTGCACGATCATAGTCATAGTTTAGGTTATAGTCTCAGTCATCATAGTTCCATCATCCTAGTCTCCCTGTAGACCTCAAAGTGCTTTACTTCATTATATCTTCTTCCTCATCTCATCATAGTTTCATAGTCCTCTACTTGCTGTCTAGTCCTCCTTCTAGCCCCCCTTATATTAACAAACAATACAAAATAAATTATTTCAGTTCTGTATTAGGGAAGGGGTTGGGATTAGGAATGGATACATCTGAAATATGGTGGTGGGAAGGTGTAATAGTGGTAAGGTTGTTTGAATATTAAATGTAATCAAATATTGTGAACTACTTTATCATGATCACGATCATCGTGTTGTTCATTGATTGCCTCAAGCAGGCACCAGTAATGTCTCCTTCATCCTAGCTCTGAGATTCTAAAAAGTGCCACATTCAAGGCTCTTTCAGGGTTTGGAGAATGAGACCCATCATTGTTACTGGTATTTGGCATATTGGGTACACCACAGGGAGTTTGCCAGACTCTGCCGTATGGGCAGGTTACATTCGGTAGCCTGCCAGGTTGTCCAAAGCAAGAATGAAATAATAAGATGTCACGCGACCGGGAGCTGAGTTTTATAGTCTCTGGGCCTTGGCCATTGATAGGATTACACTGCGCCAGGGGGCAGTTCGTGGGTGTGACCCTCGCCTACTGGAAGATGGAGGATCTGGGTGGAGGATGCTCAGCGCCAAACCGAGCAGGCTTGGAGATCTCAGCCCCAGGACCCGCACGCCTTTGTTCTTCTGCCAGTACCTTCATGCTTGTGGAGAGTGGTCTCAGCATGGTTGTGGCTGGTTCTGGTGGTCTTCAGCTGCCGGGGCTCTACTCGGGGAGGGGAGGGAAACTCAAGAGGCCCTGGCAAGGACAGCCAGGCGTGGGAGCAGGAGACTCTTAGCTGTTCTCTTCTGGGAGCTGGGTTTTATATAGAGATACTTTATAAAAATAAAATTAAATTAAAAAAAAAAGAATCATGGAAGGGGGGCAGTACCAGCTCATCCTTCATGCCCTTCCGAGGTCACAAGTTGCCCCCCCCATGAGTGGCTCTGCAGCACGGCCATGGCTCCAGAGGCACAAGGACTTAATGCAGAGCCCGGCAGCTTGAGGCAGAAAAGTGAATGGACTATCGAAGTGACATCTGCACTTGTTTGTTCATTGCAGCACTCTTTACAATAGCCAGAAACTGGAAGAAACCTGAATGCCCAAGAACAGATGACTGGTTAAAGAAACTTTGGTACATCTACACAATGGAGTACTATGTAGCTGTTAGAAAAGATGAAGTCATGAAATTTACATACAAGTGGTACAATATGGAAAGTATCATGCTAAGCGAAATGAGTCAGAAAGAGAGGGATAGACATAGAAAGATTGCATTCATCTGGGGGATATAAAGTAACAAAGTATGAGATTAATACCCAAGAATAGCTGAGATCAGCACCAGGAGGATTACTCCATAACTTAGAGGCCAGCCGGGTATCCTAGAGGAAAGGGCAGTTCAGATAGAGAAGGGAGCACCAAATAAAGGATGTTTGGAGGATCCTCCCAGAAGGGGAGGTGCATGTCGAAAGTAGACTATGGACTGAACATGTTTGCCACTAAATGCCTCTTTTGCAGACCACAACACCCAAACGGAGAGAGAGAACACAGGGGATTGCCCTGCCACAGAGGCAGGGGGGGGATGGGGGGATGGGGGTGGGAGGGATATTATCCATGGTGGTGAAAAACGGGCACTGGTGGAGGGATGGGTATCTGATCATTGTATAATTGAAACCCAAGCACAAAAAAAATTGTAAATCTACAACTGTAAAAAAATAAATAAATAAATAAATAAATTTAAAAAAATGAAAAAAAAAAAGTGAATGGACTATGTGTTAAACTATGGTGCTATACCTCCCAGGGAGGGAAAGGGTATTGCTCCCTTCCGCCCCCGCCCCCCGCCCTCGGCAGCAAGTGACAGTGATGGGGCAACTGAACTGCAGCCTCATGGGAAGGGGGGCGAAAATGGCTCTTCCTTCATGCCCTACCAAGGTCATGAGTTGCCCCCCACAAGCGGCTCTCCGGCATGGCCATGGCTCCAGAGGCACAGAAACCAATCTCATAATTATCCAGGTCTTGGCAGAAATCCCTCCAGACTTAATTAGTAAAATATCAGAAATCCAAAATCATCATATGGTTCTCATAACCAGCTATAGAAAACAAATTATTTCACAATGCCTTTTCAGCAGTTCTGATTGTTTGGTGGAAACTCTAAACAATAATGGTGCATCTTTTGTCAAAATGTAATCAAAGTAGAGAGAGTTAAGTAGAAATCATCTGCCTCACAGGCATTGGGTGGGGTGGGAGAGGGGGGTATATTGAGGTTCTTGGTGGGGAAAAATAAGTACTGGTGAAGGGAAAGGTGTTTGATCATTGTATGACTGAGACTTAAACCTGAAAACTTTGTAACTTTTCCCACAGTGATTTAATAAATAAATATAACAACAACAACAAAAAAGAATCATGCTATATAATGAGAAATCACTGAAAGGGAAGGTTCCAAGAATAAGAAAACACTGACAGGACTTCTTATATTTCATAGTTTTACTTGGAGCCCATAATCAAAGAACCAGAGGCAGTCATGACTTTCTTAATTTCTAGGCCCATGTAGTCATCCACTACTGGAATTCTGACTGAAACTTCTCTCATTGGCTCAAAACTCGGTATGTATGCAACTGACACTGTCTCTTTTGAAGACTCTTCTCTGCGATCCTTTCTTGGGGGAATAGCAGTTGAAGAGTATTGAAACAGTAAGTATTCATTTCTTCTCTTCTTTCATACTTAAGTATCTAGCTGATTCCTTCCCACTCAACAATATGATCCTCAATGAAGAAGCATTGCCTTGTGCTTTGTTATATCTCTCTGTACAATAATGTATTCGAAAGATAGTTAATAATTTTTTTAAATACATCCAATTTTTCTTTTTTTAAATTAAAAAAATTTTTAATGTATCACCTTGAGGGAGGTACAGTTACACTCACAAACTTTTGTGCTTATGTTTCAGTCATACAAAAATCGAGTACCCATCCCTCCACCAGTGCCCATTCTCCACCACCAGTGATCCCCCCCCAAATCCCGCCCCCACCCTCTCTCTCTCTCTCTCTCTCCTTTTTGGGTGTTGTGGTTTGCAATATAGGTATTAAGTGGCCATCATGTTTGGTCTCTAGTCTATTTTCAGCACACATCTCCCATCCTGAGCAAGCTCTCCAAGCATCCTTCTCTTGGTGGTCCCTTCTTTATCTGAGCTGCCTTTTCCCCCTGCATCGGAGGCCGGCTTTCAAGCCATGGAGCAATCCTCCTGGTCTTATATCTAAGAGATAGTTAATAAATTAATGAATGAAGGGGTGGATTCTCACTGATTTGCCTTGTTCTACATTCTCATCTTTTCATATGAATTACTATGATAGTCTAATATTTAACAACAGAAACCAGCAAACTCTTCAACCCATGACCACATTTCTGCTTAGGGCTTTAATAAGCTAAAATAAACTCAGTTCTTTTCATACATGGTAACATTCTACCATATAAACCATTCAGTGTTTACACAAACACTGAATTAGCATATATTGAACCTTTGCTTTCAGGCAAAATACAGGAGTAGTTTCCTGAGAGCTTTTGGTCAAAACATCAACTATTCACATATAATTTTTTTAAATGTGTGCTTCGATTTAAAGATACTGTATTTAATACATATTTCTGATTCATTGACACTGAATTCACTTCCAACAGTATGAGTTCACAAAGTGTGGGGGTGCTGCGTGACATGCATTTGGTCCTCCTCAGGTCTCCCCAGCAGAGAGATGGAGAGATGGGGAACCACAGGCTTGTGGTGAAAATGGCCCATTTAATGCAGAGCTACTAGCATACTTATAGAAACATCTGAAGGGCCTTGAGATAAGGACATAGGTGTGATTGATCATTTACAGAGATAAAACATTTGGCAGGGGCAGTTCTGGGGCGGGGCGGGGAGATTAACTCAAGGAGACACTGTCTCCGGGGGACATCTACATTGCTTTTGTCTTTCCTTCTAGTTGTATATGTTAAATATTAAGTTGTATATGTTAAGTAGGAGCCCACTTCACTGCAGGTGGGAGGGCAGAGTTCATTTCCGTTGAGAAGACAAGGAGCTAGTAGAAGACTGGAAGGCTTGGGGGGAGAGCCAGGGCGGTGGAGAGCGCGTTCTGGGCTGGGCCATGGGCGGGGCGGGCCGGAGGCGGGCACGGGAGTCGGAGCTGGGGCAGTTGCTGGGCGGGGCGGGTCAGGGAGGGGCGGGTCCGGGGAGTCGGAGCTCCGGCGGTTGCTGGGCGGGGCGGGTCAGGGAGGGGCGGGTCCGGGGAGTCGGAGCTCCGGCGGTTGCTGGGCGGGGCGGGCGGGGGGCGGTCCCGGGCCCCGGAGCCCCAGGCCGGGCTGTGTTGGTGGGGCGGCCGGCTAGCTGGAGTTCACAGCTGCGCACCGCGGAGGATGAGCGGGACCGGGGCGGCTCCGGGGGCTGCGGGCGCCGTCCGGGGGCTGCGGGTAGACGGGCTGCCCCCGCTTCCCAAGAGCCTGAGTGGGCTGCTGCACTCGGCGTCTGGCGGCGGCGGCGCATCTGGGGGTTGGCGGCACCTGGAGCGGCTGTACGCGCAGAAGTCGCGCATCCAGGACGAGCTGAGCCGCGGGGGCCCGAGGGGCGGCGGCGTCCGGACCTCCGTGCCGTCCCCCAGGCCTCCCAACCTGGACGCCGCGCTGGCCTTGCTCCGCAAGGAGATGGTGAGGAGGACGGGAGGGCTGGCGGTGGGAGCTCCGCGTCTCGGAAAAGTTCTCGGGGACCCGCGCTTTGCTCTGGAAGTCCCAGCGCCCACCCTCCTCTGATTTAATTTAAAAAAAATTTTTTTTTTGCGCTGGGCGCCGACCCCAAAAGAGGACTAGTGACTCCCCTTTAACTTGTTCTCTCAGTGCCACGATTGTCCCTTCTGTCCCGGACGGCTCTGCTTTCTTCAAGTGGCTTTCAGAGAACAGTCGCCCCATTCCCGCCGCAGCAGGCTGGGCAGCCGTGTTGGGGTTGGCGCGGCGCGGCGCGGCTCGGGGTTTGAGCTCGGCCTTGGGGCGGGGGAGACATGGTCACCTTGCAGGGGCTCAACTGACCGCTGGGTCTGGGCGAGGCTTTCTCTGCGCCCGAGGGCTGGAGAGCTGCGGGCGTTTGTGCACTCTACCCAGAGCTACCTACCCGCCGCTCCGAGCCCCAGGCCGCGCGTGCTGAATCCGATTACCGCCGGTGCACGGCGGCCAAGGCGCTTGTGACTGAGAACTCAGCCCTGAAACCTCTCAACATACGGCGAGCTGATGTTCCAAACCCGCTGGAGTAGAATGAGGGCAGTGTCCTTTCCACTTCGCTTCTTTGGATTTTTCTCTAGACTCCAAACAATGAGGCTTAGCTTTTCTCAGACCTTAGGGTTTTGGGGTTGCTGAATCTCCACTGGTTAGCTTCTGAAAGCAGGGCAAGGGCGGGAATTAAGGCTGTAATTTTCTTAAACCAGGCTAGAAAAGCACAGAAAAACTTTCTTTCCAGATCTTTTGGCTGGTCACTTCCCCCGGCCACCTCCTCTTTTATAATCTGCTTTTCCTTTCACCCAGTACAGCCTCTTTCCTATTAGTATTGATAAATGAATGATTAAGGGAATACAATATCTAAGGTTAAACTTGACAGAAACAATAGGAATCCTTTAAATATGTATCTAGTACATCAAGATGTTATAAAAAGTCCATTTATGCTTCCTTTTTTTCCCCTCCAGGAGTATTGTTTCCAAAAGTAAGATTTAATTAAATCTAGAAAAGCAGCCATAACCCTTTAAAATCAAATCATTATTGTGTATTCACTCCTTAGCTGGCATTGAAATTGTGATTTCCATTTCTCTGAATAGAAATTTGAGTAGATTTTCTAAGTTTTTCCATGGATTGTATTAGATTCCAGGCTTAATTGTCTCATTAATTACTAAACTCTAATTGCCACCAACGATGCTGGCAAGTTGCATTTTAATTAGATGAGTCTATACCTAGTATGTTTACAGTACGAACTTGAAGACAGCTTAAATATGGAAGTGAAATTAGAATTTTATCCCAGACTGGGTTCTGTACTTGAACAAGGGACAGGAAAACCTCAGGCTGTGGCTTTGGGGAAGCTCTGATTCATAAACATGTTCTGGAATCTTGTTGTGGTGACTTGGGACTCAAAGTGCCCTTCTTGCAAGTATTTTTCCAGGTTCCTCCTGGAATCTGGTGTGACTAAAGTTTATTTACCACCTTATAATTGGACCAGATCTCTCTCCACACACAAGTATACAATGCTGAGATAAAGATCTGGCTGTGGGCCTTTCTGAGTCCCATTCAAAATACATATAACAAGGTTTCTTAAAGTACTCTGGGCTTATGGTCTTAGAACTACTAATTTGACACCGGTAAGTAGTTACATCTAGCTGAGGTTCAGCTCGGGGGCCCTTGCAAAATAAGACATGGAATTCCTAAATTATCTACCAAATAGTGAGTGCCCTGAGGTCGAATTTGTGTCAAGGGCTAGAACTAGCTAGGTATCCTGGCAGAACATTCTTTATTCTTCTTTTCTTTTTTTTTCTTTTCTTTTCTTTTTTTAAAGGCCTTGAATGGTCAATGCCAAGGATACTTAACCAGGGAAAAGGAGATAGGAAAGAAGTAGCAAAAGTACAGGATTGAATCCTGCTAGCAGTGATCCCCATAACCCAGAGTCTTAAGCACCACTGGGTGTGGCCCAAAAACAAAAAAAAAAAAAAAAGAAGAAGAAAAAAAGAAGTAGTAGCAAAATGGAAACTCTTAATGTTGGTAGAGTGAAATAGAAAGTGCAATTAAGTAGGAGAGGGACAGGGAAGGTGGTTTTGGGGGGTTGCTGAATGTATCAAGTGGCCAAGGAAGGGTTTAAGCAGGACTTTGGTACAGAGTTGGATTTGAGAATGTTACACTGATAGCAGAGAGGTCCTCTAGGTGGACAAAGGGAGAAGGCTGGTGATTGTGAAATAAGAATCAGACAGGAGATCCTTGTGATGCAGATCCTGTAGGAGTTGCTGTTGAAATATTAGCATATTAGCATAAGGGACGATAATAAATAAGAATAAGAATTGACGTAAATCTTTTTAATGGAATGTGCAGCTAAACAAAAGCAATTACAAACACAGCTGTTACATGTAGAGATAATCACTATTAATAATTTAGAATCCCGTGTAGGTAATGTGTAGCTGCCTTCTATACATATATAATCCTAAATTTTCTATGATTTACTTGAAAGTCTAGTTTATATATTTTTAAATCTCATTTTACAGTTTAACTCCTTTAAAGTCACAAAATCAATCAGGTGTGTTCAACTTCAAAGCCTATTGTGTATGTGTGTGTGTGTGTGTGTGTGCATTTGGGGTCACATTTGACAATGCTCAGGGGTTACTTCTAGCTCTGCACTTAGGATTTCCTCCGGGAGTGCTTGGGGGACCATGTAGGATGCTGGGTCAAACCTGGGTGAGTGGCATGTAAGGCAAACGCCCTGCCTGCTATACTATCACTCTGGTCCCTCAAAGTCTTTTAAACTGTTGAATCAATGTGTGTGCATATGTGTGTACACACAGATCACATACATTCTTGTTTGCTGAGGAAGGAGACACATAGTGCAGCTATTTTATGTGTTATTAAGTAGTTGACCCTTGAACACCATGAATCTGAATTGCATGGATCTAGTTATACATAGATTTTTCTTGTCTATGATATAAACATACAGTATGGACAAAGAAGTACTGTAAATGTATTTCTTTTTTAATTCTCTTAGTGACTTGTAACTTATTTTGTTGTATGAATACAGCATATATTACACATAACATTCAAAGTAGGTGTTACTGTTTATATTATCAGTATGACTTCTGGACACAGCAAGCTCTTAGTACTTACATTTCTGGGGGAGTTATAAAGTATATTGAGTATTTTTAACTACGGGGTTGGAGAGAGAGGAGGTGCTTCTAACCCTGCAGTTGTGTCAACTCTACTTTGAAATATCTTCAATAACCACATAGCCTGCCTTTGTTGGCAGTAATAAGTGAGGTTTTGAATCGTGGTGTTGTATCATGGGTAAAGTGGGATTCTTTTCAGTAGTAGGGAAGTCAGGAGAAATTATTGCTTTAGGAGAGAAGGTTGTATTTGCCATCATATCAGGGAAAGAGTATGTTAAACATTTTAGAATGTGGGCCTGGAGGCTGGAAGAGAATTTTGACCCAGAGATAACAACTGACGTATGGCACCAGTGGAAACTGGGAGAAATATGTGTCCAGGGGGTTCTTTCTCATGATTGGTGAGCCTGCACTGAGAACTATGGTTTGCGTGCCAGGTGTCAGCACTTCCTGTTCTACTTCCTGTTTTGTCTGAAGTCTGTACTGTTATGGACCCCCAGTGGGTCCATTTGGAAAATAGTCATTGCTGTGTAGATCAGAAAAACAAGTTGAGTTTTTTCCCCTTATTTTTAGCAACAGTTACTTTATTTAGATCACATTCAACAGAGATAAATAAATAAATAAAGCAACAGTTACTTTATTTAGATCACATTACTGAGTCTGTGTTAATCTATAGAAGTGCTGTGAACAGGCAGAGATATAGTATAGCAGGTAAGGTGCTTGCCTTGCATATGACTCGCCTAGATTCTATCCCCAGCACTCATATGGTCTCCTGAGCACTGCTTAGAAGTGATTGCTGCAGAGACTGAAGTAAACCTTGAGCAAAGTCAGTGTCCCCTTGAAAAAAAAATGGGAGGATGAAGAATACAAAGATGGGGCTGGAGTAATAGCACAGTTAATAGGGTGCTTGGCTTGCATGTGGCCAAGTAAATCTCTAGCACCCATTATGGTCCCCTGTACATGCCAGGAGTGATCCTTGAATGCAGAGCCAAGAATCCAGTTAGGTATGCCCCTTCTTCCCCCAAAGAAGAAAAATACAAGGATGAGTAGGAAATATCTCCATGTTAAGGTGCTTGTACCATCTAACACATTCGTTAACATGATTGCTGAGTGTATGTAAGCAGGTTGAAAATCACTGGCTTCAACCACTTGTCACTTTTCATGACCAAAGACTTTTAATAATAAAATCTTAAGTTGAGCCAGCTAGCTCTTGGAAAAAGAGTATGGAAAAGGAGAGCTTAGTGCATCAAGGTATTCTGAGACAAAAAGCTGGAAAAAAGGCTGATGGGGAATCTAGAAAGTTCAGTGTAGTTCATCTTTTCCTGTATTTTTGAACCTGGCCTCTAATAGTGTCCATACTCTTAGTTTCAGCCATGCACCTTAGTTCCATTTTGTAAATACTGTGGGGCAGGGCACCAGTGAGCCCAGTTTGCACATATATCTACAAAAAAAATTATCTCGTCCAGCACCTCTCTAAAACTTGGTAACCCAGAGTCACACGAAAGTGTTGTGACAGAAAGAGAGCTACAGAGGTGAGTATAGGAGTCCTTTCAGGGACAATGTCCCTGGGAATTCTTGGGATTATGAGTCTCAGATTCACAGCAGCAAAGTAGAGCTTTAACTCGATTTGGAATCTCTGCCTTGTTTTTCCTTTTGTTCTTCAAACCGTAAGTTATTTTGGTTATCTACCTGAGCATCTGAGTGGGAAGGCATCTGTGTGTAATTTTTTGAGTTCCTGAACTGCAAGTGGTTTGGTTGTACAGTTTGATCTGAGAAGTTCAGAGATGTTGCTTAGTGATAGAGCATGTGTGATGC